TGGTGATTCGGGGCCTGCTAACCCATCACGCCAGGGGCACAATCGACCCCGAGCCTCCTGGAGCGAGAATGACTAAGGGATGGCTGCGGCGTGCGTGCGTTTCACCCATCCAGACAGAGGGAACAGGGATGCGGGAAGGGCCAGGATGGGAAAGCTGGGGCCTGAAGCTTACGTGACCCCCAGAAGGCCGCTTAGCTCAGGGGCGGGACCCCAGGGCTGCTGCGTCTCCCAGACGTACAGGCATCTAGCTCAATCCCCACACCACCTTGCTGTGTGACCTTAGACCGGGCTTCCACCTCTCTGGGCCTCCAGTCACTAAGGGAAAACAGGAATGCTCATGTACTGCCCTGAGAGATTAGGGTCCTGAATGTATACATACAAGGTACAAATTATTAGAAGACAAATAACCCAAGATACCAAAAAAGGGGGCAAAAGATCACACAGGTCATTCAAAGAGGAAACCCAAATGGCCGATAAAGGTGTGAAAAGCAACCACCACCATGAGATACTATTCGGCACGCCCCAGATTGGCAAGAACTAAAAATTCTGACAATTCGGAGCGTCCGCAAGAACACAGAGCAAAGGGACCCACAGGCACTGCTCCTGGGGGTGTAAAGGAAAAGGTGAAAATGCAAACTCCAGGACCCGCGACCCCGCTCCGGGCATGGAAGCAGCTCCAGGAGAGGGAACCGCTCAGAACACCCAACAGGAGCTCACATGGCAGTATTCATAAGTGGAGTATTAAACTGCAGTTAAAAGGAACTGGAGCGTCGGCAGCAACACAGATCTCCAGAGTGTAATGTTCTTATATAGTTTTAAAACATTCACCGCAAGATTTTTGGAAGTGTTAAAAAGATAAAAACATTAATGGGTGAATGGGGCGGGGGACTGACCGCAAACAGCCACAGGGATCTTTTGGGGGGAGACAGAAATGTATAAAACTGGACTGTGGTGATGGTTGCACAGCTCTGTACATTTACTAAAAAATCAGCAAACTGTACACTTACAATGGGTGAATTTTACAATATGGAACTCACAGCTCAATAAAGCTGGTCAAGAAAAATATCCTAACTAAAGGTCTATTTTTTAAAAAGTGCAAGAAACTGATAAACAGCAAAGGCAGGACATTGCTTTTTGAGGGGAGGGGAGTGTGGGGGAGGGTACACAGGGGGCTTTGCATTTGCAGTGTTTTATTTCTTAGAATGTAAAGATCTGACAGCTGAACCATGGACAGATATTTATTTTATTCTATGTATCCATATATTTGAAATAGTGCATCAATATAATTAAAGGGCCGTTGGGATGAGTCTAAACCGAGAGCTCACGCCAGTGCCTGGTTCACAACAATGGGTCCGATTGCAGCTATTATGAACATTGCTGCTCTGACTACTACACCATCTTGCACTTAACATCTAGTGATCTCGTGACAGAGCGAGCCAGCACCTCGGGCCCCCGATGATGAAGCCTCTTCTACACCCACAGCTTCTGTACACCCCACTCCAGCGCAGGAAACGGGGTCATTCACACAAACCCGCAAAACCTACAAGGAGCACTTCCTCTTCCCCTCAAGCCAGAAGATAACCCAGCGGGGGAGGGTCTCCTCAGGGTGTCAACTTGAACCCCCCCAATTCATTCAGAAAGCCCTGGCTCTGGGGCAGGAAACGTGCTGGCAGAGAAAGGCAACAGCCCCCAAAGGCCGCAGCTCCTCTAAAGAATATCTCGTCGTCGCCCAACCTGCTGGATCTCAGTGACCCCTGCCTTCTTCTGACCGGGCCTGTGGCTCTGCCCACAGGGGAACGAGCTGGAGCAGAGCTTGGAGAGGACGCCACCCTGATCACGGAAAAGATGTCATTTCAGGAGGAATACGTGGCCCAGCCCTAACGGGCAGCCTCGAGCTCCGGGTACAGCTCTCCGATGATTATCCACAGCACCTGTGACCCGCTGCCTCCAAGGCAACGAAGTGACGAGCAGGAGGCGCTGGGCTAGCTACAAACGGGGAGAGGGCTGGAGGGGTGAAGGGTCTTGGTGACCAGAACTCTCCGTAACGGGTTTCTATGTTCTAATGCAGCGGCTGGAGGTAGGAATGTGTATGACTTTGGGCCCCTGGGGAACACGTCTAGACACAGTTTTGGTTGTCACAACGGGAAGGGCGATGCTGCTGGCATCTAGTGGGTAGAAGCCAGAGATGCTGCTAAACATCCTACAGCACACAGGATACCGGACAACAAGGAATGATCTGGCCCCAAATGTCAACTGTGTTGAGGTTGAGAAATTCCGCCCTTAGGCAAGTAGCAGTGTTTACAATGTGCAGATTATAGAAGACGGAGCCAAGAGAGGTAAATCCACCAGCCCAAGGTCACACAGCAGAAAGTAGCAGGGCCCACACTCTCGCTCCAGGGTGGCTAGGCCAGGTTCAGAAGGGAGGATATGAAATGGGATGAAAGTCCAGACCCATGCCAGCAGCTGCCTCCATACCCATTCCTTCCAGAGTGGTGGTGGGTATGGCTTGAGGACGTGAGTGGGGGCTGCTGGCAGTTTCTGGGGGGTTCAGATGCCCGGCCATCATGGCATTCAATCTGTTCCATTCTTGTGGATGACTCAAGTTTCAGTTCAACCCATTGCCCCTCTTCATCTGATGAACCCAAAAGGCTGGAGAGAAGGGAGGGGGGCCACCTTGAATCACAAGAGTGACTAAACTCACAAGCAGAAAAACAAATTCTTGGTGAAATTCCTCCCCATGTGACTTTAGCATGTTCCCAATCAGTGACATGGACACCACAGGGCAGGGAGGCAGGCATCTAACAGTTACGAAAAGCCAACCCTACCAGCTACATGGTCCTTCCCCCCAGGAAGTGAGCACCCTCACCCCCAGCTTACAGATGAGGAAACTGAGGCTCTAAGAGGCCACACGGCTAGCAAGTTGTAAGGCCAGGATTTGAACCCAAATCCACATTTGAACATTTAGAGACCTGTCTCAAGAGGTTCCTAAAAGGTGATTGAAAGCTTAGAAAGCCCTGGCCGGTTTGGCTCAGCGGTTGGAGCATCGGCCTACAGACCTGAGAGTCCTGGGTTTGGTTCCCGCTAGGGGCACGTATCAAAAAAAAGAAAGAAAGCTTAGAAAGATGCCTCTCAAAGCTGCAGAACCTTCAAAAAACTGGCAGAAAGGGATCTATGCCTCAGGGTGGACACAAATGATGGCAGACTTCCTGGTGTTTTAGGGGATCCAACAGACTTGGATTTATATCCCTGCCCTGCCCCTGACTGTGACCTCAGGCATAGGATCTCACCTTTCTGAGCCTCAGTTTCCTCCTCTGTCAAATGGGCTCAAGAACCTCTGCCTGACATGCATGTGTCAGGAGAGGACAGGAGAGAGTGAGTGGACGCTGGCGCCAGTTCTTGGTGGTTGTATCTATTCTGGTTTTGCCAGCTCACAGGTCTGGTGGGAGGCAGCGTGGAGCATTTCAGACTTCCGCCTGTTGCCATGCTGGTGAAACTGTCTCCTACCAAAGAGGCAACTGGGTTACACGCTCAACAGGCTCAAACAAGAAAGCAAGATTTGGCAGCATTTGAAACGCTTCACACAAAAAGCGGGGTGGAAAAGAGAGAGAGAAAAAAAAAAAAGACAATTTAGCTCAGTTCTGGAATCAAGGGAAACTTTACTCTATTTAAAGATGCCACAGGTCCAGGAAATAGCTTCCCACTGCCTGGCTAAGGGCTGAATAACTAGCTGCCCAGCCAATAACAATACAGACTCATACAGACTCACACAGCACACCCTTTCTCGGGGAGCGCAGAGTGGATTCCAGCTATCTCCTTTCAGAATTTTATAGGCTACTCATGGAGGGCACGTCGATCTGCTTTGTAAGAATGAGCCTCTTAAGAAAATAGATCCAAAGAGGACTTGCAGGGAGGCCAAGGAGCTGAATTTAGCCAGCCGCGCCCTTTGCTATTCATTGTTCTACTCTTCTTTGTTTAGGCCTTTTTCCCTCCCTCTTGCTCTTTTTTCCTTCCTGGTGAACTTCTCCGCGGCGAGGGCTGCCACTGCCCCCTTCCCACCACCAGAGACACCACAGCCCCCTTCTCTCCAACAGGGAGGCCTCTCCGAAGCCTCGCCAGGGCCCAACATCCCACAGCCCCCTTATTCCTCTCCCCGAACCTCGAGGTGGTCCCAGGGCCCCTTGAATCCCCCAGATTCAGCTCCTAGGCTGCTGTGGAAGCCATCTGCCACCTGCGGGTCACTGTGTGCCCCAGGCACACCTTCCAGAGGCAGGAAACACCTGAATTCTGCTCCACCTTCTAGAACTTGCAGCCTCTTTGAACCTCAACACTCCATCTGCAAAATGAAGCTACTGGCCCATTTTCTCGAGTCCTTACCTGTTCTGAACAAGATTCCCATTTTACAGAGGGAGACACCGGGAGAAAACTTTCGTACATTTTAAAACAGAAGTTATTGGAGAGAGGGCGCAGGGACTTTTTTAAAAAAAAAAAACCTTTTTAAGGTGCAAGCACTCAAAGATCTCAGGGATCTCCATCGCTCAGGCTGGCTCTGCTAAATGGACGGAGCCGGACTGGGCGATCCCTGAGGGGCTACCTGTGGCTGGTCCCTGCGGGTCCGAGCGCCTGTGGACAAGCAGGGCCTGGGCACAGGCGCTCCCCCCTCTCTCTTTCGGTCCCCTACATCGCCTGGGGCCAGGCTGTTCCACGGGTAGGAAGGACAGAGGTGGGGCGGGGGCTAAGGGGGAGGGAAAGGGTAAGAGAAGCGGCACAGGGGCGAGGGGCGGCGAGGAGGGAGGGTGGGAAGGGGGACCAGAACCCCGCAAAAGAGAGGAGGGGGAGGGGAGGGGGAGGAGCCGGGAGAGACCCGGGCGGCGCAGCAGCAGGGCGGAGGGGCCAGAGGGGAGGTGGGGGAGAAGGCGCAGGAGGCAGAAGTTTTCCGAGCCGGGGGCTCCCGGTCGCCCCGCGGGCCGGGCTCGAGGGGGCGGGGGCTGCGCGGCACTCACATAATGCTTGTTGGGCACCCGCCGCTTCTGGACGTCCAGCACCTTCACCTCCACGATGCTGCGCCGCGGCGGCATGGCCGCTCTCCTGCGGGGCCGAGCGCGGGTGCGGGGGCCGCCGGGGGCCGGGGTCGCAGGGGCCGCGCCGCCGCGGGTCGGGAGCCGGGGGCCGAGCGCGATCCGCAGCTCCGGCCGAGCACGAGTAGCCGCCGCCGCCGCCGCCCTTCGCTCCGCGCGCCCTCCGGCCCGGCCCGCCGCGCCTCCCGCTGCCCGGCCCGCCCCGCGACCCGCCCCCCGCGCCGCCGGCCAGACCCACTTAAAGGGCCCGGCCCCCACCCGCGGCCCCGCCGCGGCCCCGGCTGTCCCACGTCCGGCCTCCGCCGGGCCTTTGTCCCTGCGCCCAGCCACCGCGACGGGGGAGGGGACGGGCGCGCCGCCGCCGTCCGTTCGCCGATCGACCCCTCGACTCATCGCGGCACTCAGCTCGCGGGGGGACCCCCGGTCCGGAGCCGGATTTGAGGGCCGCACTTCCCGGTTCAAGTTCCGGCTCTAACCTTGGGCGAGTTGCTTCACCTCTCTGGAGTCAGCTCCTTATCTATGAAATGGACCTCGCTGCACTCCCTGCCAACCAGGGCTGTCCTCACGGTGACATGCGCGTGAAGCCACTGGCAATAAATAAAGGTTGACAGTGGTAAACCCAGCCCGAGCCCCAGGGATCCAGGGAGGAGTAGGGGGCCAGGGCTCTCCTGGGCTTACAGTCTGAGAGATGGGGAGAAAGGGGGAGAGAAACCACGACAAATGCAGGTACAAATTAATTGCAACATTTGCGCAAAACAGAGTAATAGGGTGGGGAATGAATGAGGGGCCAGTGGGTGCTCCTTAACAATGCCATTAACTCCCGAATATGGAGCACTTCCTCTGTGCCAACTGCAGTGCCTCCCTCTTTAAAGAATGTTTTCTGAATCCTCAGGACAACTCTTGGAGGAAAGGATGGTTGACCAACCCATTTTACAGAGGAGGTGACTGAAAGCAGCCTCCAGACTTCCAGAGCTGGTGGAGGCATATTCTACAGTTAAGGGTGGCTGGGGCTGCGCCACACTCCATCCAGTGCCTCCTAGTCCTGGCTGGGCACTGAGTCATTTCCAGGAGGGTTAGTGAACAAACGGCTGAATGAATGTATACATCACCGGATGCATAGGAGGTTTGGGCCCCTGGCCAATGCTCTCACAGTAGTAAGCAGGGCTCTTTCCAACAAACCTTGCGTCTCCCCTTCAGGCCTGAAAGAGCCCAGGGCTCCCTCTCACCCCCAGTCCAAGGTCAGACTTTGGAAGGGGGTGGGGGGAGAGTCATCCAGGAGAGGAGGCTGCTGGGCAGCCCTGGCCAGGCCACTGAATAGTTTGGTGCTGATATACTGATTCACTTTGTTTTTGTTTCTTTATTGATGTTAGAGAGAGAGGAAAGAAGAGGGAGAGAGAGATCGAAACATCGGTGAGAGAGAACATCGATTGGCTATCTTCTGCATGCTCCCCACTGGGGATTTGGCCCACAACCTGGGCATGTGCCCTGACCGGGAATCGAACCAGTGACCTCTTGGTGCACGGGTCGACGCTCAACCACTAAGCCACACGGGCGATTCACGTTGGATCAGCCCCTCCATTTGCCCCTCCCCCTTCTTTGCCAGGTCTTACTGTTGGCAGTGGTGGGCAGGGTGCACCAAGTGTTAGGGTGCACCAAGTGTTAGGCACATGGGATCAGACCAGACCTGGGTTCAGCAACCTCGGTACTTGAATTCTAGCTAGAGAATTCAGAGCCAAGACTCAAACTATAAGAGAACATTTATTTGGAAAATCACAGAAGTCGAAGAAATGGGCTCAGGAAACAAGTTATAGAGGTAAAGGAAGGGCCCTTAGAGCTTAGAAGTGAGGAAGGTGAAGGTTACTTGCCTGCAGGGGCAGGAGGGGGGAGGGGAAAGGCTCTGGTGCGCTCCCAGGAAGAGGGTGAGGATCCTAAGGGCTTCAAGGGTGGAGTTTTTTTGTTTTGTTTTTAATCCTCACCTGAGGACATTTTTACATTTATCTTCAGACAGAATAGGAGGGGGAGAGGGAGAGAGAGTGAGAGAGAGAGGAACATCGATGCAAGAGAGACACATCGACTGGTTGCCACCTGCACGACCCCTGGTCGGGGATAAACCACAACTGAGATACTTGGCTGGAACCGAACCCAGGACTCCCTGGTCCGCAGGCCAATGCTCTAACCGCTGAGCCAAACCAGCCAGGGCGAAGGGTGGAGTTTTTAGGGGAGGTAACAGGGGAAGATTGCAATAGAATATTCAGAACTTTTGTTCTGAATTTTCCATGTGTGTCTTTTCAGGGTAGGGTCTCCACTGATTGATTGACACCAGGGCAGGGGGTCATTATTCAATGCGGCTGGCCCTGAGGTCCCTCATGGCCTTGCTTGTCTGGTTTTGCTGCTTTTCTGGGCCTGGAGCTGAACTACAACTGAGGCCTAGATGTTATCTCCAGGGAGGAAAGGTCGAGGGCTCCAAACTGCACGACCAGCACTACGCTAGGGGAGGAAAGGTCACCCTGTGGACGAGGTCCCACTCTACAGGCGTCCTGTGCTGGGCACCCTGTTGCCCTTCTGTACCTGGCCCATCATCCTTGCTCGGCTCATGTCTGTCTAACTGCCTTCCATGTCACTACCCCATTCTGGTCCAGATGCTGGCCTGAGTGGATGTCACTGCCGGGCTACCTGCCCTCTGGCTTCCTGTTGGGTGTGGCCAATGGGCGGCCTGGGCAGGAGATTGAGGGCAGGCGGAGAGAGGTCTGGATATTCACTTCCTGAGCTCCCTTCCTGCAGGGTTGTCCTTACCAAAGGCACCTTCCTCCCCCACGCTGGCTCCCTCAGGGGTCCCTTGTCCATTCCTCCCACTAAGGGTGGAACAGTCCTGCGGGTACTGCACCACCATCCCCATTGGGTTCCCCAAGCCCTGCCTGCACCTGAACAGACTCGTAGTAAACTTTCCTTGGTGACCCAGTTTGAGTGTGGTATCCGTTTCACGCCAGGACCCCCACGGACAGAATTCCTGTAAGGCACACTCTTCTGACGCGTGGTTGTAAGTCAAAGGATTGGAAGTGTCAAGCATGACGAAGGCCTGGCTTCTCTGTGCCTTTTACCTCGCCCTCCGCGTGAGCCCAGCCTTCCTAATAAGGCAGAACCACAGAAGACAGATGCTGGAGGAAATCTGTGGATCAGCCAGCTTCCTCAGTTTTCCCAGAAAGGCGCTGACATCTGCCCCCAGCAGCACACAGAGAAGCCGAGTCCTCCACCTCCCCGAGTGTGCTCACCTCTCCGACGTGGCTGGCCCGGCCCGGCCTGGGAAGACTAATTTTCCTCCCCGCCTGCCCGTAGCTGAAGATGCAATACCTATGTGTTTCCAGACCCTCCCTTTGTCTTTCTCTTTAAACTGCAGTAAAATATACATGACTTAAAATTTACCATTTGAGTAATTTTTCATTGTCTAGTTCAGAGACATTAAGTACATTCACACTGTTGTGCAGCTATTACCACCGTCCATCTCCAGAATGGTTTTGGTCTTACACTGAAACTCTGCACCCATTAAACATTAACTCCCCATCCTCCCCTTCCTGCCCCTGGCAACCGCCACCTACCATGTATGTGACCTTGGCCAAGTCACTGACCTCTCTGTACCTCCACCCCGCACCCCTAAGACGGGATAAGAATACGCCTGACCTCTTAGGCTTGTTCTGAGGTCTAATGAGATAATACAGGTAAAGCACATACATTTTTGTTAGTTTTTTCTTCTTGTTTTTTTTTTTAATCCTCACCCCAGGATACGTCTATTGATTTTAAAGAGAGAGGAAGGGAGGGAGGGAGGGAGGGAGGGAGAGAGAGAGAGACATCCATGTGAGATAGAAACATTGATCAATTGCCTGCCACACATGCCCCAAAAAGGGATTTTACCCCCAATTTAGGTATGTGCCCTCACCGGGAATTGAATCCACAACCTTCTGGTGTCTGGGTTGATGCCCCAACCAACTGAGCCAAGGCTCATTTTTGTTACTTTGCTATTAGTCAATTTGATACAGTTGACTAACATTTTCCGTAACAGCATTCAAATCCCAAACCTAATTTTATTTTTTTAAATTCATCACCCGAGGATACGTTTCTATTTATCATCAGATAGAGTGGGAGGGAGGGAGGGAGAGAGAGAGACAGAGAGAAACATCAATATGATAGAGTCACATCAACTGGTTGCCTCCCTCCCACATGACCCGACCAGGGCTGGGGATGAACCGCAACCGAGGTACGTGCCCTTGACCGAAATCGAACCTGCGACTCCTTGGTCTGCGGGCTGATGCTCTAACTGCTGAGCAAAACCGGCCAGGGCCCAAACCTAATTTTAACCCTAACTCTGCCTTGACGTACACCCACTCTTTCCGCGTTCTGACCTGTTTAGCCCTGATTGTGTGCAGTCTCATCATGTGCCTGCGATAGAAATGACTCGCGATCTCCAGAAGAGAATACCTTCTGGTTTTCTCCCTGTCTACACGCCTTGACGTAGCTATTCATTTCCTCTCTTTGTCTGCCAGTGAGCTCTTATTCAGCCTTCAAAGCCCAGCTTGAGTGTTGCTTCCTCCAGGAAGCCCCGCATCCCAGATATGTAAGTGCTTCCTCCCCTGGCTGTCACCATGCCTGGTCACGGCCACTACTGCCTTGGTCTCGAGCTGACTTCTCTGCCACTCTGAGCTCCCGAGGAGCTGGAACAGGTCTTGTTCGTGTCACATCCCCCGGCACCTGACACAGACTAGCACGGAGGGGCCCCAGGGAAATGCTTGTGGGATGAATGAACCCATCTCCATGTCCACAACGCTAGCCTGAATCCTCACCCGTGGGCCTGTGCCTGTCCCTACCTATTCCCCAGGGGCCTCGTCACACCATGCTTCACTGTGACCAAAATGCTTCTGGGAATAAGGGCCTTCTCCCTGATTGGGGTGTGGAGAGGACAGGGCAGAGAAGGACGTAAATCTGCTGCCTTGGCTGATTCATTCTTCTCA